TAAGTTTTTTGAGGAACGGCTGATGAGTTCTAACTGCTGACCTTGTGGTTCAAACCCACCTTGATTATCCTATAGCACTTATCCTACAGTGCCACAGCTTTATGAAAATGTATGAAATATTGTGACCAAAATGTGGCTCAGAGACCCAAAATGATGACACACGGTTGGAAAAATAGCATCAATAGGCTTGCTCTGATAGGGGTTGCCACAACCTTCGATTGATTTTTTTTTTTTTTTAAAGCAGTATCTGTGATGATCAGTAAACCAAGGTATGCCTATAATTCAAAGCACATAGAATCTATTTGTTCTTCCCTCAGAGTCAGCTAAGCCACAGTCTTGACTTGTGGTTTCCATGGCAGGCAGTGCAGACTTGGCTTCCAAAAATTTATGTCTCTCTTTTTTTTTTAAATAAAACTTTCTGGGCAAGATAGAAAGTTATTGATGATTCCACATAAACTCCTGTCATACAGACACAGCCCATGGCTCTGTAAACACATTCACTGCAAAAATCTATATTTGTGTCTGGTCAGTCTGAAGTAGATTCCTGGGGAGACTGCCTAGAAAGCTCAAGATGGTATTTAAGAGTGAGTGAGTCTGAGTAGCTGATTGTTCATGTACATGGATCACTTTCTTCAGTCTCCAGATATGCTTATTTAGTAAGCACTTGCTGTGTACCAGGCCCTGCATCAGATAGCTGGGGTACAAAAATGACTCAGTCCTTGCCCTGCCTTGCTGGTAAGGAGGCATGGAAACAAAAGTGGCTTGATTAGAACTACTAATGAATATATATAAGCAAACAAAGCATTCGTGATTTATTATAGCTCCAGTTAAAGATGCCCATACTCAAAAGCACAGTTTCTCAAGTCAAAACATGTTATGTATTGGGTTAAAAAGTGCTTATCTGTGAAGAATATGCCAGACTTCAGGGTATGCTTAATTTAGATGTTCTGTGTGGGAGTGAGAGGGTAGAAGGAATGTGCTTGCTGATGGTATCTAGTCGATAGGACCTTGGGATGCTACTAAATATCCTGCAATGCACAGGATATCAGTATTGCCAGGGCTAAGCAACATGCTCACAACGGCAATTCCCTTAGCACTACACTGTTTTGCTTGTCTTAACAAATCCACACTGACCTCCCTCTGGTTTGTTCTAATGTTGAGATATATGCCTCTATTCCAATAAGTGAGGAAATTGAAAAGGCAGAAGTGTTAAAATGGTTTCTTCAGCCTTAAACTCCAGTATGCTTACATCTTAGAATTCTTTTTCCTTGTTTATTTGGTCTGTTGCTCATTTCCTTGAGTCACATCTTAATGGCAGGTCCTATAAGTCTGATAGACTTTCTGCAGCCAAGGTTATATGCTTCTGAATGGTCCTCCACTCCTTTTTCTACGGAAGCAAGCTTCCAACCCCCAAGGTATTACTCACAGCTCATCTATTCTCTTTCTCTTTTTCCAGACCTTTCATAAAGTCTTTATTTCCGGAAAATCTGCAAGCTGAAAAGAAAGGACGCCCAACTACTGCGGGAAGCAAAATAAAGGTTTGTTTTATTTGGGGAAATTTATAGATTCCTAGAAGAGCTAGGTTTTTCTGGGAGCCAGGAACTGCATCCCTGGGCTGGGATGAGGTCAGTAAGATGTAAGGCAATTGTAGAGCTGTTCAGAAGTGCAATTGCTGCTTCAGAACAGATTACCTGATGCAAGCCGAATTTGACTTGACTGTACTGAAACTCCAAAGGATATGAAGTACCTTCACAGATCAGTAGTCAACAGATAATAATCAGCTGCTTTCTAAGAGGAAGTGGCATTAAACTGAACCTGGAAGAATTTACGTTGAGCTACTGGAGAAATTTTGTGATTCGGGTCCACATTTAAAATTTTAATGACAGTTTTCCAAACCAGACCTGAGAACTTGCCTGTTATGGGACTTGATGTCCCTAAAACTCTGTGTGGTTTCCTAGGAGTGACCTATGCATCCATCTTCCCCGGATACTGCAGGCCCAGCCTCACTGTGAATTTCAGCACTTTTGGTCTCCTAGCTTGTCTAAGTCAAAGGAAATGCATTCGATCCTCAGCGGGTGTCTTGGGATCCCCTGTGGTCAGTACTATGTCATCTCTGCCTTTGTGTGGTGAAATCTACGCTCCCTCATTGAGAGGTTGTTTTGAATTGAGAGGCTGAGTCAAATGTCCTTAAATAATGTAATGCTTATAGAAATAATCACCAAACCTCCTGCCTTTTTAAAAAAAAATCATAGCATTTAAATTTAAAAAACAAAAAACCTGCTGGTATTGAGTTCATTCCAACACACAGTGATCCTATAGGACTGTGTAGCATGGTCCCCAGAGGATTCCCTAGGCTGCAGTCTATATGGAAGAAGACCACCACACCTTTTTCCTGCAGAGTGGCTAGTGGATTGAAACCACCAACCTTTGGGTTAGCAGCCAAGCGCTTAACCACCATGCCACCAAGACTCACCAGTGAAATACCTCCCCAATTCTGTATCCAAAGAGAAGAAGTCAATGGCAGTAAAAGGTTCAGGGTTATGCTTGCATGGTTTCAAATCCTAGCTCTGGCTTTAACTAACAGTGTAATTGTCAGCATGGGACCTAACCTCTCAGTGCGTCTTGCTTTATCTGTGAGGTGGAGATCTTACTAGCTGCATCAAGGAGTTGCTGTGATGATTCACTTCAGTAATCCATCCAAAACATTTAGCATAGTGTCTGGAACAAAATGTAGCCAAAAATATGTGCCAGCGCCTCTTAAATTGGCCCAGACACTTCCTTTCCTGTCTGCCATCTTGTTCGCTCCTGTTTCATTCTTTGTGTTCACTTACATTTGCACATTCTTGCTCCTGCCTAAACCCTCACACTCTTTGTGCCCAAATCCTACCCGTCCTTCTCCACAGGGCCCTCCTGGATATTCCCAGCCTCGTGAGCACCCATGGTTGTTATAGTCTATCCTGTTCCTTGGTTCTTCTCTGAGTGTTTCATGTATGAAAGCTGGCCTCCCAAACCATTGGTTAGCTTCCTAAGAGCTGGAATGATGGAAACAATCAGCAAAAGTTCAACGAGAAGGTTCCAGTCAAGAGGAGCCTTGCATTTTGTGATGGAAGTTTGAACTGGGTTTGAACTGGAGCATAAAGCCCCCTGGGTTTCAGGAGTATCGTATACAAAAGTGAGAGAAATGTAGTCACCCTGGATGGTAACTGAGTTAGGTTCAGTGGAGCAGTGAGTTGAAGGGGTTAGCAGGTGGAATTCTGATGAGGCCCAGATATTAGTGAGTGTGTGAAGGTTCTGACTCATTGCTTCATGTCAAGTCCTGGATAAGGATTAGGTCTGAATTGGAAAATCTAGTCACAAGATGATCACATTCAGATCCAAGGGGCCCAGAATATCAAGGCCACTGTGACTCACTTTCAAGTGGTCTAGATTCTCAGCCAAGTTTATTCCCTATTTTTAAAAAAGAAAAATAGAAAAAAGAGAATGAGGAGAGACTGGGGACATTTTTTTCCTCCTTAGAAGAATTGACCCTTTTCTTCCATTTATATCCTGGTTGAACACCCCAACTACCACCTTTTGGAGCTATACCAGAATGTTTAGGGTTGCAAATCTCAAGCCATCCCATCAGGAGGTCAGCCCGAAGTCAGCCAGTTCATCCCGCCGGCGTCAAACTCTGCATGCCTCCCTCACAATTGTATTCTCTCTGATGGATTCTGTGACCTCAACTGACCTGCCACTCTGTCTCTGTGTAGGCGTGAACTCTCCCTGTTACAGCAGTTGCAGAACCGAGACACTGAGATAGGGGGTTTTCTCCATGCCTAGGGCCCATCTACTTGTCCCAAATGCTCAGCTCTCCTTCTGAGATGGTAGACAGTCCCTGTCTCTCCAGCAGTAGGTGCTGCCATGACTAGAGGAGCAGTGGAGAAAGTTGTTCTTAATCCCAGGGAGACGTACAAGTAAGAACAGAATCAACACCAGGCCAGGAGCACAGCTCTGCTCATTTGATGGGAGAGGAAAATGTCATATTCTCTTCCTAAGTCAGCGATAGTGTGTAAGACTGAGCAGGACTCTGTGGGAAGCCTGATGCAGTGGTTCTCAGTTTGCTTCTAGGACATTTTGCTACAAGTGATCATGAGGGTGGGGCAGAAACAGAGCAGCGTTTTGTTCTGTTGTGCCTGGGGCGTCCAGAGCAGGAGACTCAAGTCTGAATTCTTGAACAAATGTTGCTGTCATGTGGTTGATAAATGGTTTTATTCTGCAGGCAGGTTATCTCTGCTGCATTTTAGCATCATCCATCTGACCACTTAACAAAGCTATGCTTGCTCTTACTATGCAAAAGGAATTGTATTAGATGCTCTATGTATAGGGTGAAAAAACTGTCAGTCTCTGTCCATTCCTGCAGCCTAGTGGGGGCTTCTGCTGACGTGCAAAGTCTAACAATAGTGGGGGTTCCTGCTGATCCCCAAAGTCTAACAAGTGTTTGGCATCTCAGCGAAGACCTTGAAAGTTTAAGAGTGAAGAAAGTCGAAGAGTTTGTTTGTTTCCTTGCAATTACTGAGATAAAAATAAAATGTACACAATTATAATAGTTAAATACATTTATTACTTAAAGAGTATGCAAAATTTTGAAATGTTCTTCATTCAAGAACAAGAGATGTCTCTCATTGATTGCATCACCTTTTGTTTTGTTTTTTTCACACAACATTCAGACTTCAAAAATTAGCAAATTACTTTTTTTAACTTAATTCAACATTTAATAGGGGAAAAAAGCTTTTTAAAGGAAATCATGCCATAAATAGCCATTAAATCAGTCTTGAAATCCAGTTCCTACAATTAATCACATACAAGTGTGTTTTGGTGTGAACCTCATCAATGGGATGAAAACATATATCAAAATCAGCAATTTCCTTTTTCATTTAAAAATGTGATTGGTTTTCTTTTTAACAAATAAGTCCTCAAGATCTGTGTTGTTTTGTTTTTGTTAAGTGCCATCAAGTCCATACAACCCATAGTGTGAGATATCTTTGCAGGAACAGAAAGCCTTACCTTTCTCCCACCGAGCAACTGGTGAGCTTGAACTACTAAACTTGTGGTTTGCAATTCAGTGCTTCTGAGCCAGTGTGCTCCCAGCATCGGCTTTTTGTTGTTGTTAGGTGCCATCGAGTCAGTTCTGACTCAGCAACCCAGTGCACAATAGAATGAAACACTGCCTGGTCCTGTGCCATCCTTACATTGAGCCCATTGTTTTTGCCATGGTGTCAATCCATCTTGTTGGGGGTCTTCCTCTTTTTCACTGACCCTCCACTTTACCAAACATGCTGTGCTTCTCCAGGGACTGGTCCCTCCTAATAATGTGTCCAAAGTTTGAGAAATGAAGTTTACTAAGGCCCTGAAGACCTTGGAGATATTCATTCTGTGGTACAGGATAATCGTTTATCTAGTCTAGGAAACTAGGAAGCTCAAAATCACAACACATGCTATCTAGAACATTTAGAGCGTAATATAATACTATGATGTTTAGAATATGTTACAAAAGAAGGCTACTGTCCTTACTGAAAGAGAGAATGTGGGGTTCTAAAAGGAAGTCAGAGTAAAACAAGCAAATGTTGGAGGTAGGGAAGAAAAAGGGAACAAATTGAGAAAATAAATGAGAAAATAAAAGAGGGGAGAACTTGGCATGGAAATAACAAAAGAGATTCAGATGCAGAATATTGCTTCTTTGTTTTTTTCCTTTTTAGAATATCAACAAAAGTTCTAGTAAAGTACAAAGCAAAATAATAGTTGGTTTTTGAGCTATTGTTACCAAGGGGAACAACTCAGTAAGGTGTGGGAAAGAAGGGTTAGAATAGGAAAAGGTCCAAGCAGGAAGGTCACAACATTGCTAACTTGCCTTCTGTTTATAGAATTGGTGTTTGTTGTTGTTGTTGTTAAGTGCCATCGAGTCGGTTCCGACCCATAGCGACCCTGTACAGGGTTTCCGAGGGTGTAAATCTTTACGGGAGCAGAAAGCCTCATCTTTCTCCCACGGAGCGGCTGGTAGTTTCGAACCGCTGACCTTAAGGTTCGGTGTTTAGAAACTACAATTGCTGCTGCTGCTGTTTTTGTTATTACCTGTCATCAAGTTGGACCCTGACTCAAGTCACAATAGGATTGGATACTTGGGATCAATGACATTTTCATTGGTGTGTCTTCTTAGTTTTAGTCTGGAAGCCCCACTGAAACCTGTCCAACATCATAGTAACATGGACGCCTCCTTTGACAGACAGGTAGTAGCTATACCAGAGGTATATTGCCCAGGACTAAATTTGCCTGATATTAATTATTTCTCAAATGTTTCTTATTCTGATGATGAAGCATTTGACAATTTAGACTATGGTTATAAATTAAACATAAATTCAAATACTTGAAGTGGTAAAAATAAAAGCTTCAATCAATAATCTAATTGTAAGTGGAATAGTTGGCACTTTGTTTTCAGAATGCATATATGTTAGGGCATGATTTGAAGGATGCAGAGGTGAAGCACATTGGTACAAACAATGAATATGCTGATGAAAGATTCAGATCAATGGGTGTATGTTGTTGTTGTTGTTAAGTGCCTTCAAGTCTGTTCTGAACCTGTATAGGGTTTCCAAGGAGTGGCTGGTGCGTTTGAACCACTGACCTTGCAGTTAGCACATTAACCCTCAGTGTCAACCAGGACTTTGGAAACTGTGACTAAATTAACAACACAGCAATCCTGTTATTATCTATTTGTAAGCTTTTCATTTTACTCCTAAAAAAAAAATGGGGCACTTCTCTGTAAGCAACAAATACTGTGGATTTATTATATGTATCCCCTTTTTGACATTTCTCAGAGATCCAGAGGCATGGCTCAATCTCTTGCATCGTCCACGATGTTTAACAGATGTCCTTAGGAATTATCTCACTGATATCCCTGAGGTACTAGCATTTAAAGAAATCCCAAGTCCCTTGGAAGTAAACTTTATTTCAAGGTGTTTATATATTTTATATCATAATGCTTTGACATTTAAAAATGATCTATAGGCTATAGTTAACAGAATTTTTGGTTTGAGGAAATTCCCATCATCTTGCTTTATAAATGGAAGTATGTAACCTGTAATGACATTTGATTTTGAGACTTCACTAAATGTGACATGGTTATAGCTGAAAGGTACCAGTATTGAAATTTGCACCAAAGACTAATGTTTCAGGGAAACAAAATCTAACTCAGCTGGTCCACATTGTCTAAATAAGGCTGGACCACTAATAGGGTGGGATGTACTAGAAGACATGTAGATGTTTGGACTGGTTGATTTATTTCTTTAATTGGTTGACTCCTAACACCGAGTTCAACCATGAAGTTAAGATATTAAGAGGTCTTCTAGTCAAACCTCCTTATTTTACAAATGAGAAAACCAAGGCCCAGAGAAATTTAATGAGTTATAACACAGTTTACAAGTAACAAAACAAAAGTCACAATCCAAGCCTGCTTATAATCTGTGTAGAGGGTAGAATGAGATACTGTCACCCTAGATAAAGTTTTCATTGTCCTGTCTACTCTCTGATTATGATCCCTGTGCCATCTGTAGTCTCTGTACAGATTCACAGATCAGGTTCCAATCCAGTTACTGCTTTACACCCACTTCAGAAGAAATCTAAAGTTCACTCCTAGCTTAGTAAATTTGGGGACCTTTTGATAGCTAAGATGTATTTCTGCTTGGTAAGATTAAATATCCCTCCACCTGAAGACTTCTGTCTACTGCTAGCTTACCTAGTTAATTCCTTTTATATCGCACTAAAAGATCTTGTATCTTTTTGTCAGGAATGCAGTTGGACTTTCTGGTTAAGAAGCAGACTTCAGTAACTCAAAGACTTGGGTTGAAGCCCCAGTTTTGTTACTTATTTAGCTTTAAGTCTCATTTTACAATCTAAACAGCAGGAAAACTAACCACATAAATGCGATAATCCACGTATGCAGCCTATGATACACACTCCGTGAAGGCTATCCATCATTCTTTTGAGCGAGAAACAACCGTCAAGTGGCACATAAGCTTAAGTTACACTTGCCTTTATATGTTTCATATACTAAGGTGACGACAAGATAGACTAGCAATCCCTTCTAACTGTTTTCTTTTAGAAATGCCTAGTGCAAGAACAATTCAAAACTACCAGCTGTTCTGCAGGAGAAAGATGAGGCTTTCTGCTCCCATAAAGATATACATCCTCAGAAAGTCTGTATAGGGTCACTATGAGTCGGAACTGGCTCCACGGCAGTTCCACCACCACCAGTACAAGAGAGCCTGCGAAGTTTTTCTTACTGTTTAGAAAATTAAAATAAATGAAAAATGTTGTGTCATAGGCAACTCTGTAGTCCCTCCCCAGCTTCAGCTTATGTAATGCAAAGATAGATTCCCCACCACCGCCCCCAGGTGCAATATTCTACATCAACAAAGAGAAGAGTCAGTTTGCTTTTTGATCTCCGGGAGTTTGGCTTGGATTATGCAATCTCGGCAGCTTTGTCCTCGATTTCAAACATTCCAAAGAACGTGGTATTCTAAACACTATACAGAGGACTTAATTATCCAGGGAACATCTTTTGTTGTCTTTGTTTATTGTAGTAAATATATATGTGCTAGAACATTTGCCATTTCAACATTCTTCACATGTACAGTTCAGTGATACCAATTTACAAGGAGGTCTCAAAAAGTTTGTGGAACAAGTGGAATTCAAAGATAAAAATAAAAAATATAAACTTTATTTCTCCACATAAAATGCATCAAGCTCAAGACACTTTTATAAGCAATGTTAACAGCCATTTAGTCCATCCCTAAAGAACTGAGGATCCCAGGGACTTCACCACATCAGTACAGTCTCTTTTTTTCACATTGTTAACTGAAGATAAATGGGTTGTTGTTGTGAAGTGCCGAGTCAGTTCTGACCCATAGCGATCCTGTATAGGGTTTCTAAGGAGCAGCTGGTGAGCTTGAACTGCTGACCTTGCAGTTCAAACGGCTTTGCAGTCTGGCACATTAGCCCACAACACCACACCAAGACTCCAGTATAAAGACTAAGGATAAATGGGTAGGTACCCTTAAAAGTGGTGTCATGGTGTGGAGTCAGGACAAGCAGTGGACCACAAGGTCGATTTAAACTGCAAGGTCGGTGCTTCAAACTTATCAGCCGCTCCTTGGAAACCCTATACAGGGTCGCTATGGGTTGGAACTGACTCGGCACTTCACAACAACAACCCTTTAAAGTTTTTTTTTAACATTAGGAAACAAACAGAAGCCAGGAGGAACGAAATCAGGACTGTAAGGTGGATGCCTCGTGATTTCTCATGGGGCTCTCAGGAAGTAGCCCTTGTTTGATGAGAGGAATCAGCAGGAGTCCTGGCTTGGTGGAAAAGGGCTCTCTGGTGAAGCTCTCCTGGGTGTTTTTCTGCTAAAGCTTTGACTATCTCTCACAATAAGCACTTGATCTCGATGTTTGGCACTACAGAAAGTCAACAAGCAAAATGCCTTGAGCATCCCCTCAAAACAGTTGCCATGACCTTTGCTCTTGACCAGTCTGAGTTTGCTTTGTCTGAACTACTTCCACTTCTTGGGAACCATTGTTGTTGTTATGTGCTGTGGAGTCGGTTCCGACTCATAGCAACCCTATACAGGGTTTCCAAGGCTGTAAATCTTTACGGGAGCAGAAAGCCTCATCTTTCTCCCGCAGAACGAAACAGCTGGTAGTTTCGAACTGCTGACCCTGAGGTTCGCAGCCCAATTCGTAACCACTATGCTACCAGAGCCATGGCCTTAATTAAACTTTGCAGGGTCATCCTGGTCAGGCCATAGTTCATCTCCTATTATAGTTCTTTGAAGAAATCCTTCAGCATCTTGTTTAAAATTTCCATTGAAAACTGTTCATGTCTACAGCTGATCTGGGCACAATAGTATCGGTACCCATCAAGCAGAAAGTTTGCTGAGCTTTAATTTTTCAGTCAGAATTGTGTAAACTGAACAAGTTGAGCTGTCTATGGTGCTGACTATTGTTTCTACTGTTAGTCACCGGTCAATTAGGCAAGAGCAAGATTAGTCATTTTCTCGAAAATGGATATGGATGGTCTGCCACTGCAGGCTTCTTCAACATAATGTTGTCCCTTCTTAAAACGAGTTCTCCATTTGTAAACTGCTGATTTGGGGTGGTGGGGGGCATTGTTTTTATGATGTTTGTTCTTGCTTCAATTTTAGCAGAATTCATGTTGCTCTGATAAGAACTCTTTTTCAAACTAATGTCTTATCCTCCTTGTCTCAGACCAACATGCTCAAACATGTTAATACATACAAATTAGTACAAGATTATTTTGGTGCAAAATTTGTTTAAAATTTATGCATAGTTTTTCATAATATGTATTTTACATGAACTTTTTGAACACTGCTTATATATTCATCAGACAGCTCAACTGTCATTCTTCTCCTTCCCCAAATTATTGTTTCTATCAACACCAGTAAACATCTTGCTGTGACTATAAACAGTAGTATTTCTCAAGGGTTTCAGATTTCCCAAACTCAAATTCAAGTCACCAGAAACACCCTAACTGAGAGCAGGATATCTGCTGTGAGCCAATCACTTCTGCTCATTTCTGAATGGTTTTCTGGCACTGGGGACTCCTTTCCGCTATTGTTTTTTGGAGGTATTCCCTCTTCGTGATTTTTTTGCTTGGAAGTTGAGTTTGCATCTGTGCCCATCCTTGAACCCACAAGGCAGCTTCCGGCATGTGGTGTGGTGGGAATGCTGACTTGAACACTGCTCCCGCCTTCACTCCAGGTTTGATAGTCTCCGAATTTGGAATACTTCATAAGCAAGCTCAGCTTTGTTTATGTGGCCTTTTCTGCTAGAATCCAGTTCTACTTTGACCAGATGATATTATATGACATATTTTACCTTTGAGAAGGAGTTAGTTTTCTGACCCACTGTAAGTGCTCAAAGTCTACATGCTTGTAAAAGGATATATTGAAGAAGAAATTGGAGGTGATGGCATACAAGAGCTTGATACACTCTGAAATGATATGACCCTTGCATCCTTTGATGATGAATTCCTATCATTTTAATGTGATGGTTCTTCAATGGTTGGATTACCAGGAAATTTGATGCAAATAATTTGTCAAAACAAAAAGTTACATGCAAAGGCCCTAACTTAATATTAAATCAACTTCGTTTATCATCAGCGTGCTTCCTTGTACCATCTGCAAAGAATTTTGTCTAAAGATTTATTGTTTTATTAGCTATGCTAAAGATGCCTAATTGCTTTCTAAGATCAAATTTCAAACGCATTTAGCAGCGTTAAAAGTCATCATAAAATTCAGTAAAGCTTTACAAAACTTTGGTTGACCTTACCTAAGTTTAATGAGCAAATTGTTATAAAGATTAATTTCTGTTTAGATGGTTGCACACTTGAGTTTCACACTAAAGTATTCTTAGACAGTCGGTCTGTTGTGGGGAAGTTCTTTTTCGCTAACTTTTGTTATTCTTTCTTTCTAGAAACAAGCCAATGACCTTGTGAGCACCCTGATGAAGTGTACACCCCACTACATCCGCTGCATAAAACCCAACGAAACCAAGAAGCCCAGAGACTGGGAGGAAAGCAGGTATGGTGAAGATGGTGGATGGAGAGGTGGAGAGAGGGGTTAGGGTTAGGCTTAGGTGGGCTTCACATATTTTCCCTCTGCTATATCTAACTGCCTCCCTTCATCTTTTATAAAAATGTTTGCAGTGCTGTTTAGTTCAACATTATGAGCAATTTATACTGTTGATCTTGGCCTGTCTGAGACCAGATTTAAAAACATGAAATACCGCAGAGTCATAATGGTTGTAAACATCATTAGAAGCTCTGCATAGACCATCTTAGTACACTCGGCTCCTGAATGATGCCCACAGGATGTGGCCAAGAATGCTTAGCTCTGGGTAGAAAGTGAAGGTACAGAGAGCTGGATAAAAGCAAGCTATTATTTACTGTTGTTCATAAGAGAGCTGGATAAAAGCACGCTATTATTTACTATTGTTCATAAAGCTACTGGGGACATTCTATAGGCTCTATTGTTCATAAAGCTACTGGGGACATTCTATAGGCCACTAAGGCATGTACAGATGAGCAAGATTACAGTATCTGGGAGGAACGAGGCCAGAGGGATGAAGAGGAGCACAGGTGTTCTGTGATCCATTCAGCGTTCCACAGGCTTGCTCTGCGCAGAGTGTTAAGTAAGACACATGTTGGCATGATGACTAGAAGATGTAGAGTGTCTCTTGGACTGGGAAATTCAGAAAAACATTCCTAATCTCATTATTCAAAAAACATCATGAGGGCTGGGGGAGAAACTGAGGCTGGGAACCCCTGACGAAGACAGGACCCTGGTTATAGTCATGAAATAATCAAGTCCCAAAATGTGAGCATATCAGAATTCCTATCTCTTTTCTCTTGCAGAGAAAAGAAAACCATCTCTTTTAGGCATCAGGTGACTTAGTATTAAACTTCAACAGCAGGACTGGGATTACAATTTATAGCTGCTAATTACTTCCTCACGAGGGTAAACATTGGACCGCTGACCATAGCTCAGCAGTTAAATCCCACCAGCCAGTCCCTGAAAGCCCTACACAGGGTCACTGTGAGTTGGAACTGACTCTACTGCACTTAACAACAAGAATAATTACCTCTTTAGAATTCTGGTTTGGTGCTGTCGGATCAGCACTGGACTGCTAACTGATGGTTGGTGGTTCAAACCCACCAGTCACTCCTTGGAAGAAAAATGTGACAGTCTGCTTCTGATTTCTTTACAGTGCAGAAAAGTTGAAAAGTTCTTCTTTATATGTGAACACTTCATGGTATAGTCTAAGTCTGCATTCACAGATTAAGAGTTTCTGTAGCTTAGACATAGGAATCTTCCATTTGGTCAATCAACAATCTTCAAATAACTTTATCTACAGATGCATGCTCTTGAATCCTCTATTTAATTGATTATTTTTTTCTGTTTTATATCATCTAAAATCTTTCTATTAATCTGACAATTTATCATACTGTGGTGTCTTATATGTTGCTATGATGCTGGAAGATATGCCACAAGTATTTTAAATACCAGTAGGGTCACCCTTGGTGGACAAGTATTACCAGAACTTCCAGACTAAGACAAACTGGGAAGAAGGAGAAACAGATAACTTCTGAATGGTTAACTACTGAAAACCTTATACATAGCCATGGAACATTGTCAGATATAGTGCCAGAAGATGAGACCCTCAGGTTGGCAGGCACTCAAAATATGACTGGGGAAGAGCGCCCTCCCAAGGTAGAGTTGGCCAGAGTAACATGAATGAAGCAAAGCTTTTGAGACCTTCATTTGCTGATGGGGCACAATTCGAAATGAGAACAAAGAGCTGCAAACATCCATTAATAATCAGAATGTGGAACATACGAACTATGAATTTAGGAAAATTGGAAGTCATTAAACAAAATACAATGCACAAAGATCGATCTCCTAGGCATTAGTGGACTGAAATGGACAGGTATTGAGCATTTTGAATCATATGGTTTCCTGTGCCTGGGAATGAAAAACCAGTGTGGAATGACTTCCTCAGTAAACGGAGGTCAGTCTAGAACAGGATCTCCAAAGTACATCTTCTTTCTTGTTTTTAACTTTATATTATAGAAATTTAAATATATGTATAAAAGTACAGAATCATACTGTAAATCCCATGTCCCCATTTCCTGTATTCATTAGTTACCAACTCGCCCCCCCACCTCTCCCCTCGCTTCTCGTTATTTTGAAGCATACTTCAGACATCATGTCCTGTAACTGATATATTTCAGTGTATGTATTCTGTATGAACAGAATCACAATTCTTCATGAACAGAACCACAGTATCACACCTAAAAATGAGACTCATATTTATTATCAGTATTTAGTCTGCATTTCAGTATTCTTGATGATCATATCTTTATTTATTAGTGGTTTTTTAATGTTTGTTTCTTTGAATCAGGATAGAAATAAGTCCCACAAATGGAACTTAAGCTTTCTTTTTATTTTCTTAATTCTGACAACTTATTGTTAGAGAAACAGGGTTTTTTTTTTTTAGCCTACAGAGCTTTTCTCGGCCTGATGTCCTAATCTGCTTCCTTTAAGTGCCGTTGGTATGTTCCTCTAAATTGGCTCTTAGATTTAGAGGCTTGATCACATTTAGATTTAATTTCTCTTTTCTTTTCACAAGAATACCTCATAGGTGTTCTGTTCTTCTACTGGGGCACATGATATTTGGCTCCTATCTGTTTTTGATGTTAACAGCTACTGATGACCAATGCCTAGATGCATTATAGGTTTCCAAATTACGAGATTTTCGTTGTACTCATATTTCTTCATTTATTAGCTGCAATGCACCTGTAAGAGAAAACACCCTTGAATGATTTACAAGCACACACTCCTCCACTTAAGGCTGCTCATTTCAGATATTTGCTCATTTTAACAGACTTTTTGAAATACTGACTTCACTCAAACTTGCTTCACTCGAACTCCTCCACCCCAACTACACTGCTCTGCTTAACATCCTTCGTAGATACTTCCTGGAAGGCCCTTAATCATTGCCACCTGCTCAGGAAACCCAAGAGGATGCATTGTTATTGTTGTTGTTAAGTACCGTCGAGTCGATTCCTATCCCTAGTGACCCTGTATAGGGTTTCCAAGGAGCAGCTGGTGAGCTTGAACCACTGACCTTGTGGTTCAAATGACTTTGCAGTCTGACACATTAACCCACAGCTCCACATTGGATGTCAGAAAATGGAGAAATTAAAACAGCAATGCATTTTATTCAGTAAATCCTCATAGGGTTTTCCCAAGTGTTATTTTCTCCTTTAAAAAAAATTTTTTCATTACATAAGGAGCTCTGGTAGCATAGTGGATATGAATCGGGCTGCTACTCTCAAGGTCAGCAGTTCTAAACTACCAGCTCTTCCGCGGGAGAAAGATGAGGCTTTCTGCTCCCATAAAGATTTATAGCCTCAGAAACCCTGTACAGGGTTGCTATGAGTTGGAACCGACTCCATAGCACATCACCACCACCACCACATCCTTATTTGAATTGCAGCAAAGAGCTTCATGGCATTAGTATGCCCACTCAAACGTGGCATTATGGATAGTTTCACCTCATGTAAGTTGAGTGTTGCTTTGTGTCTTAGTGTTGAATGTTGGTGTCCTAGAAAGGACAGTGTGCTTGGGCAGCAGGGATTACATGCTCAGTTGAACTTCTTGATGGACGGAACTACTCATTCCACAAATTTGTGGGGTGTGGGGTTTTTCTTTTCCTGTTGAAAGTGTGTGTTTGTTTGACTTCTGGCAGTATTGCTTGCCCTGGATTCTGAATTGCTGCCCCAGCAGAATCTCAAGTTTTGACCTACTTGAGTTAATGACTAAGGGTAGTCTTGAAGAGGCCTCCTCCTGAGAGGAGATGGCCTAATGAAGGACAAAACTGGGCAGTACCAGCTTGTTAATGCTTATGGAGGAGGAATATCCCTTGATTTGCTAAACTGACTGTCCTGCAGAAAAAATTTCCTTGGAAAAAATTCCTGATTTTGGAAGTTACCGTGAATGAAAAATACTTTACTGTGAGTACTATTCGTTCCTAGGTGCTTCATGGGAAAGGAACATTTCTACTTCAATCACTGGTTGATGTATTCTCGGCTTGAAAAGTTCGAGTGAAGTCAGTATTTAGAAAAGTCTGTTAAAATGAGCAAATATCTGAAATGAGCAACCTCATGTGTATTTCCTTACTAGAGAAAAGGCCAATGGTGAATTTTGACTTTGGGGGAGAAGTAAAATTATTTGTTTTAATCGCATTTCTACTCAAAATAGAGTTATTTCTTTCTCTCTCTGACCTCTCCAGGCACATGTGGATATCTTTCATATTCAAGCTTTTAAAGTGTTAGGTGGAAGCATTGATGGCTTAGTGGTAGAATTCTGGACTTCTGTGTGGGAGGTCTGGGTTTGATTCCCAGCCAGTGAACTTCATGCCCAGCCACCAGCCATCTGTCATTGGAGAGTTTGGGTGCTGCTAGGATGCTGAGCAGTTTCAGCAGACCTTCCAGACTAGGATAGACTCAGAAGAAAGGCCTGGCAATCTACTTCTGAAAATCAATCAATGACATCATTATGGATCACAATAGCCTGGTCTACAGTTGATTGTGGGGATGGTGTAGGACTGGGTAGCATTTCCTTCCATTGTGCATGGGGTCACCATGATTTAGGGCCAATTCAATATCAGCTAACAACAAGAAGACTGTGTGCATCATGACAAGCTACAGACAACATTGCCAAGAATGGAAATTCCAGAACACTTAATTGAGCTCATGAAGAACCTCTACATATACCAAGAGGCAGTCGTTCAAACAGAACAAGGAGACACCAAATGGTTTAAAATCAGGAAAGATTTGTGTCAAGGTTGTGTTCTTTCACCATTTTATTCAATCTGTATGCTGAGCAAATAATCCAAGAAGCTGGATTATATGAAGAACATGGCATCAGGATTGAAAGAAGATTCATTAATAACCTGCGATGTGCAGGTGGTACAACTTTATTTGCTGAAAACATAGAGGACTTAAAATGCTTACTGATGAAGATCAAAGACTACAATCTTTGGTATGGGTTGCACCTCAGTGTAAAGAAAACAAAAATCCTCACCACTGGACCAATAAATAACATCATAATAAATGGAGAAAGATTGAAGTTGTCCAAGACTTCATTTTAGTTGGACCTACTGTCAACATTCATGGAAGCAGCAGTCAAGAAATCAAACAACGTATTGTATTACTGAGATCTGTTGCGTAACACCTCTTCAAAGTGTTCAAGAGCAGAGATGTCAGTTTGAGAATGAAGGTGCACCTGACCCAAGCCATGGTTATTTTCACTCGCCTCACACACATGTGAAAGTTGGATGGTGAATAAGGAAGACCACAGAAGAATGGATGAATATGAGTTATGGTGTTGGAGGAGAATACTGAAAGTGCCATGTACTGCCAGTAGAACCAACAAATCTGTGTTGGAAGAAGTACAACCAGAATGCTCCTTAAAATTTAGGCTGACAAGACTTTGTCTTTCATACTTAGGACATACTAAGTATGAAAGGACTGTCAGGAGGGACCAGTCACTGGAGAAGGACATCATGCTTGATAAAGTGGAGGGTCAGATAAAAAGAGGAAGACACCCCTTTCCCCCATGATATGGATTGTCACAGTGCCAGCTGTAATGGGCAACAATTGTGAGGACTGGGCAGTGACTCGTTCTGTTATGCATAGGGTTGTTATGAGTCAGAACCAACATAACAGCACCTAACAAGAAATGTTAGTTATCTTGAAGGCGTATGTGTTTGTGGACGTTAGCTTTAATGAGACCACACATTTAAACATTCATCACTAAGCCTTCCCAGGGATGCAAAACCCCTCTTTGAGCTTGATTTTCCTTTCTACCCACTCCTCTTTCCACCTATGTGATGCCAGAGCCAATGTTAAATCTAAAATTTGATAAAAGAAACAACTCCAGTATCATAAACTTAAGTTAGAAGTTCTCTTTCCTTTCCCCTTTTGAAATAGCAGTAGTTTTCTTCATAGTCATGGTGACAGACACATGGGTTTGGTTTTGTTATTGTTCATCAAAACAACCATATGATGTGCCCTTCTATAATGCTGTATTTATATAAATGTTTTATTTATATAAATATTTAGAGTATAAAAGCTCAGCTCCATCGTCTCTGAGCACTATGAGTTGTTACATTTTCCATATGTTTCTATAACCCAGATTAGGAGGTTTGGAGAGGTGGTGGGTGGATTATTGTTAAGTGGTGATAACCTGACCCCATTGTCTCCTTTACAGAGTAAAGCATCAAGTAGAATACTTGGGTCTGAAAGAAAACATTCGAGTGAGAAGAGCTGGTTACGCTTATCGTCGCATCTTCCAAAAATTCTTACAGAGGTAAAGTATTGTTTGCCTGGACCTAAACTGTAACAACAACAACAAAACTTGAATGGGAGTTCCTGGTGTGGTGCTGTGGGTTAATGCACTGAACTACAAAGTTGGTTTGAACCACAAAGTTGGCAGTTCAAGCTCACCAGTCACACCTTAGAAACCCTATACAGGATCAGAACCGACTTGAAGGCACTTAACAACAACATTTTAATAGGAGTCCTTATGTGGCGCTGTGGTATAAAACACTGGATCAGAAGGTCAGTTTGAATTTGAGTTCAAACTCACCAGCCACACTTTGGAAACCTTATACAGGGTCGCTATGAATTTGGAACCAACTCACTAGCACTTAACCACAACAACATACTTTAATAGGAGTCCTGGTGTGGTGTTGTAGGATAAGCACTGGGCTGCTAACCCCAAGGTTAGTTGCTAACCCCAACTCGACGGCACTTCACGACAGCAACACTTTAATTACACCTAAGTCTTTTGTTATCTATGTATGTGGGGAAAATAAATAGTGCCCTCAAATATTTTATGATTCTAATCTTTCTAATGATTCTAAATTGAAGTTCCCTAGTATTTTCTACATCTGTTTTATTTTGTTTCCCAAAAAAAGAAAACTATATGTTGTATAGTGATTCTTTCCAGTCTTCCACAAAACTGGTATTGAAGCAGTCCACTCAGAAAGAAGGCAGCCTGCATTTTCTAATGAACAGCACATATGCTCATTATAGAGGACCTAGGTCTTCCTTGAATAAATAGATCAGTAACACCACCTTAGAAAGGACTTTGGGTTTCTCAACCTCAAGTCTGAACATTTTGGGCTGGATGCTTCTTTGTTGTGAGGGGTTATCCTGTGCTTTGTGAATGCTTAGAAGCATACCTGGCTTCTACCTACTAGATACCAATAGCATCCTCCCAGTTTTGACAACCAAAATGAATCCCGATATTGCCAGATATTCCCTGGGGTTGAGGGCGTGGGTCAAGCCTGTTGAGAACCAATGACTTCATCATTAACGTTTATGAAACATTACATCTCTCTGAAAATGTTTTTTTTTTTTAAGTAAGGGGGAAAATTGCATCAGAAAATGGTGAATGAAAGTATTCCCTCAGTTCTTCTCTGGTTCAGAAAGACCTACACTCAACAATTCTAAAACAGCCATAGTCTTTTCCTTCTTTTAATATTTTTCCTGTACTTGAAAACTCTCTATTTGACATTTGAAATTTTTTATTTTGACATGACCATCGAAAACGTAAGTGTTTTTTTTTTTTTTTTATCTAATCTTGATTTTTAAGAAATGAATTAGGAAAAGTTTCCTTCCTAGCACATAATAATAATTTTTATAAAGAGAGCAGGGAGACTAAGGAACCAAGAAAGGAGAGATAGGAAGAAAGAATCTCATTTTCCTAAGCAGTGATGTCAGTTCCATAGCACAGAGGAGAACAGGACGTCATGTCCTCCTTACTGACATTGCTCGGTGCCTTGGTTGTGTACGGTACCCTGAGCAGGCTCTGCTGCCCGTATGTTGTATTGTTAAGTGCCATTGAGTCGACTCCGACCCATAGCAACCCTGTATAGGGTTTCCAAGGAGCAGCTGGTGAGCTTGAACCACCAACCTTGCAGTTCAAACAGCTTTGCAGTCTGGCACATTAACCCACAGCGCCACACCAGGACTCTGCTGCCGGTTACAGCTCCTTAACTAAGCTGTGGAATGACTTTGGCTAAACATAATAGCCAGCCCTCTCTTGGTGCCATGCTGGCTGTGTGATACCATGGCAGGTACTTTTTTCTGTCCCTGCCATGGTATAGGCATTTAGTGAATTTCTCATTATATCCCTAATGTTGAGTGGCTTTCATAGAAACGATTCTATTTTGAATGTCTTCCTCCTTCACTCTCCTGCTGTGGGCTTTTTCTTTCAAAAGATATGAATGAACTGTCTTATTAAAATCAAGCTTTCTTGTTATTGTCATTCTACTCTTGGCTCAACACACTGGGAAGATAATAAACACAAATAGTTTGGAAGGAAATGTATTATTCAAGCAACTTCTTTCCAGTCTTCCACAAAACTGGTATTGAAGCAGTCCACTCAGAAAGTAGGCAGCCCTGGTCACACAGTGGGTTCCAGGTTGGGCTGCTAACCGCAAGGTCAGCAGTTCGAATCTACCAGTTGCCCCAGGGGAGAAAGATGAGGCTTTCTGATCAAAGTACTTTAGGATTTACTTCAAAGCACGTGGGCCACAGTGAAAGAGTTGAGGTGGCTTTTACTTTTTGCTCTCCAATACGTAGTCACAAGGGATGGTTTTGATTAATAGAAAGGATATTGAAACAGGAAATGAATACCCCAAAAAGCCATTGTTTCCTATTTTCTAAGCCACTATTATGCTCTCTTGGGGGAAAGATGGAGCTTTCTGCTCCTGTGAAGATTTACAGCCTTGGACACCTGCTATAGGGTCACTGTGATTTAGAACCAAGTTGACGCCGTACAACCACCAACCACCACCACTCAGAGCCACATGAAGGCCAGGCATTTTAACCATCAGATAATATTTAGCCCAAGAACATGACCTTTTCTATAAGGTATGTGAGTCAAGGATTCTTGTCCTACAGAATTCATCCAGCATCAACCACCGATTCTCTCATCATTTACAAAGTAATTGAACCATCTCTTATCTTTATTCTTTCCATAGTTGAGAGAAAGGGCTGTATTTGTTGCATTTATTTATAGGTGTCTACAGAGAGGCTGCTAAGTGACAATTAGAGAGTAGAAGCTGAAAGTGTAACTATATATTAACACGGATACATGCAATATACTTGCCCCGTCTGAACTGAGCAATGGTTCAGGCACTTCCTAGAGCAGAACAGTTGTTAAGTGCAATTGAGTTGGTTCCTGTAGAGAGTTTCCAAGGCTGTAAATCTTTAAAGGAGGGCCTTTCCTTTCACCCCTTCCCCAGACATTCTGGGCTGCTGAAGAGTGAGTCTAATCCTGGTACTGGGTCTAGGGAACCAAGGAAGACCTTGGCATTTCTCAAGGCCAGGGACACATTGGCTGTGTCTTAGATGTTATTTTACACATAAAATCCTCCACCTTTATATCCACACAATCCTCCTTTGATTTCTCTTTCCTTTCTGTGTCAGTCTCTAATTATAAAGTTTCTAACATATTAGACTTCTGTCGGGATTGGTGGTGGTGGTGGTGATATGCCCGTGGAGTTGGTTCCGACTCATAGTGACCCTGTATAGGATTTCCAAGTCTGTAAATCTTTACGGGAGCAGAAAGCCTCATCTTTCTCTCGTGGAACTGCTTGTAGTTTCAAAGTGCTGACCTTGAGATTAGCAGCCCGACTCATAACCACTCCTCTACCAGAGCTCCTTTGATATTACTAGGTGTCTTCAAGTTGGTTCCAAGTCATAGCGACCCTGTGTGGGGTTTTTGAAGCTATAAACTTTACAGATTCAGGAAGCCTCATTTTTCTCCCATGGAGCGGCTGGTGGGTTTGAACTGCTAACCTTGTGGTTAGCAGTCCAGTGTTTATCCTTCAGAGCCACACCTTTAAAAGAAATATTGATATGTAAACCAATCTGTGGCTTATGTATAGTGCAGTGACTAAAGGAGTAAGTTAGGGTTCACATCCCAGCTCTGACACTAGATAAGTAGCCTTGGGTGGGTCTCTGATTGCTTCTGTTTCCTGCTTTGCAACATGGGAAGACCAAGTTCCTCAGGTTGCTGTTAGACTGTTGTTAGGTGCCTTCGAGTCACTTCTGACTCATAGAGACCCTGTACAGGGTTTCCGAGGCTGTATGGTTACGAATTGGCCTGAGAACCACAAGGTCAGCAGTTCAAAATTACCAGCTGTTCCACGGGAGAAAGATGAGGCTTTCTGCTCCCATAAAGATTTACAGCCTTGGAAACCCTGTATAGGGTCACTATGAGTCAGAACCGACTCCACGGCACATAACCACCACCAACCAAATCTTTGCAGGAACAGAAAGTCGCATCTTTCTCCTACAGAGTGACTGGTGGCCTTGAACCACCTACCTTTTAATTCCCTGCCCAGTGCTCAGCCTACAGAGCCACTGCACACCCACCAGAACAATATAAATCACCCAGAACAACACCTGGAGCAGAAGACCCCATGAATGTCAACCTTTAATGTTAGCTGTGTGTCAAGCATTGTGTAACTGCTGTTTGTGCAGTTACGAATCTCACAGACATGGTACCTGCTCTCCTCATGGAGTTTCATCCTTACCAACAAGGCATAAATTAACCAAAGAGACATAAACATGAATATAATTAAAAATTGCAATACATGCTCTGAAGGAAAAGTCATACTTGCTCCAGAATAGTGTGGGTGGGAGCCGGGCAAATTGTAATTGAATGAATAGTCTTTGCAGACGTTTCTGGAAGTCTCCCTGGAGGTATGTCTTGAAGACTGAGTACAAGTCAGCCAAGGGAGGGGCTTGGAGAACAACAATCCCACAGAGGGAGCAATGTGGGGAAGGCTCTGAGGAGGGAACACAAGGACTCAGGGAGACTAGAAGAGCTGAGGTTGGAGACTAGCCAGGGACCAGGATTCAAGGTGGACAGGGTTTCCAAGATGAAATTTGATGCATAGGATTACTAATCACTGCTTCTAGGGAGCTTGATAAACTCTTTCACATTGTTGCATGCTCTGAAGAAATCAGAGGAAATTAGTATTGCGAAAAGACTATTTGATTTTTGCCTGTGGAGTGTCATCAGTGACCTTCAGCAATGCTATTTTTAAACAGTGGCAGAAAGGAAAGCAGATTTCACCAGGGCGTTAACATGGTAACGGTCAGAGTAGGAGGCAGCTCTGTAATGGGCATCCCAGATCCAGAGGACATTTCCAGTCATTGAGGTACATCCCTACGGAAGCTATTGAGCAGTGATAAATGAATTACTACTACCCCGTCAGCATTAGTCCCATTGGAACAAAGCTGTTTGCCTCCTCTGAGTCTTCTCTTCTTGCTTGTCCTCACAGATATGCCATTCTCACCAAAGCCACCTGGCCTTCATGGAAAGGAGATGAGAAGCAAGGTGTCCTCCACCTGCTACAGTCCGTCAACATGGACAGTGACCAGTACCAGCTGGGAAGGAGTAAAGTGTTCATTAAAGCCCCGGAGTCTGTAAGTGCCCCCTCGCTTCCTCGGGGCCCTTGGCCAACGCCTCCTCACTACGTGGCTGCTTCTGTTTCTCATCCTTCTTTCATGCCTTAAATGCCATCTCCAAAAACACCAGAGCTTTGAACCATTTTGAACTGGGTTGATCATGACCAAGGAAGTGAAAACAGAGCAGACCTAACTTTTTTCAATCCAGAATGGGGGAAATTATGGTCGAAGGCCTGGAATGGGAGACTCGGAAGCCCGTTCAGGAGCCTGGACTGTGTAGAGCAGCTCACATTCAAAGCGGTGTGGTCAGCCACCATCTTTGAGCCCGGTACCATTGTTTTCAACTCAGTTGTTTAAGAGATTTGGTTGCTAAGCAACACAAACACTACCTTTGTTTTTTAAAAAGGAGATTCCGTTTCTAGCAGGGCTTCAACGTGTATTTTTTCTGTTCTGTTTAGCGTTCTGATTCAGCCACATTTTAAACTTTTGAGTCCATTCCAGTATTGTTTTGTCAGTCTCAAATGAACCAGTTTGAACCAGTTCAAAAGTCCTGAAAAATAGTGTTGCCTCCCCTCCAATCTAAGTAAGTCATTCCTGGAACCCTCTCCTTCTCATAGTCTATCACCACCCCTATTCATCTACTTCACAGACTTAAAAAAGCCAGTTGCCTCCCAGTTGATCCTGACTCACGGCAACCTCAAGTGTGTCAGAACAGAACTGTGCTCTATAGGGTTGAGTTTGGGGAAGCAGAGCACCCGGTCTTTCTCCCAATGTATCGCTGAGTACATTCTAACCTTCAGTCTTTTGGATAGCAACACAATTAACCATTTATAACACCCAGGGTCTCCTTCATAGCACTTAGCATTTATGAATTGATGTCATCATATGATAGTTTCTTTTCTCACTTATTGTCTCTACCCTTCTAGACAGTAATCCCATGAAAGCAAGGACTTTTGTCTGTTTAGTATGCCATTGTATTTTGTACATAGACACCCAGAGTCTAGTACAGAGACTGGCTCGTAGGAGACGCCAACAGTTACTTAATAAAGGAAAGCATGAATAAGCAAACTACATTTCTAAGCTAAGAAGAGAGTTCTTTGTCCCATAGTGGGGGGCTTGTGCAAACCTGCACACTGATTTGGATGATACCAAACAGACCAATTACTCTCAGACCCAGGCTTCCTCCTTGAAGGCTGAGCAGAACAAAGTGGGGGCAATTTTCAGGATTATAACTTTGAAGGCCATGAGGAAAATGGAAAGACCATGAAGATGGAGTTTCTGAAGAATAGTTATGTCTCTGATGTTAACAGAGGGAAAGATTTGTCATCTCTATGAAGAGCTTGAATTAACAGGTTAAGCTGAAGGAGAAATCTTTGGGTTTGTAGAATACACATTACTCAAACACTTGTATTACAACTATCAAACTTACTAGACCTCTAAGGATTGATTTATTTCCTTAGAAAAGTTCTGTATCTTTTCTGATGAGCTTGTGGTCATGGCGGGCCTAGTCAATGTCCATTAGAAATTTTCCATTTGAGCAAGAATCCAGTGTATGCCCTCAGGTCTTCTATCCATCCAATAAGCTCTGGGGCTACACAATAAAGATATTCCTGTGTAAATTATAGAGATTGCTGAAACTAATAAATGTTCAGCAGCATCATATCTTGAGGCTCCCACAACAATCACAAGATTCTGTCCTAAGAGTCAGTGGTTTATCACTGATAGGTATAGATCCTAGAGAAATAAGAGCTGAGCACGAATAGACAGATGCACACCCATGTTCATTGCAGTATTATACACAATTGCAAAAAGGTGTAAACCACCTAAGTACCCATCCATGGGTGACTGGCTAGGCATTGCGGTTCATATGTACATACAATGGAATATTACACAACAATAAAGGATGATGATGACTCTGCAAAACATCTCACAAAATGGATGAATCTGGAGGGTATTATGCTGAGAAAATCACAAAAGGACAAATATTATAGGAGACCACTATTACAAAAAGTACAAAATAGATTTATACTTAGAAACATTATTTGATGGTTACCAGGGATGAGAGGGGAAAGGACAGAACATCACTAACTAGATAGTGTTAAGTGGCATTATGTTGATTCTGACTCACAGCGACCCTATAGAGGGTTTCCAAGGAGTGGCTGGTGGGGTTGAGCCACACTTAGCATTCAGTGAAGGGAAAGATAATACACAATATGGGCAAAGTCAGCACAACATGACCAAGGCAAAGGAAGATAGGGAGTTCTGGGGAAAATAAAGAACAATCGCAGTGAATTCTATGACACATGCAATCTTTCAACACTTGTAATAAGAAATAATAATTTGTGGATAGATATAATAAAGTGAGATATATACGTACTAAATAGATGTGGAAGATCCTACAGTAACACACCTGCATGCATATATAGCTATGGATGTAGATTTTTCTTACATGCATATTTGTAAATGCTTCCATACATATCTGTGTTATATAATAGAGCACATAGTGGACACAGGGAAACTTCTTAGGCCTAACCAAACACCTTACAGAACTGAGCTACTCAGCTTGAAGGCTGAGGATCTCAGTCTCAGGGCTCCTGTAGGTCAATAGGCTTAATGAAATTCATGAAAATAACATTCCGCACCCTAGTTTGAAGAGTAACATCTGGGATCATAGAGGCTTGTGAGCAGCAATCTAAGATACAGCTATTGGTCTCTTCCCATCTGGAATAAAGGAGAATAAAGAAAACTGATGACTCAAGAAAGCCATTAGTCCTTTGGACTAATCAGCCACATGAACCACACCCTCCTCTAACCTGAGACCAGAAGAACGTATCGATGACCAAGAATACGATAGAAGATCCTGGTTTGAATGAGTCAAAAATGTAGAACCAAGTTCAAATGAAAAACAAAAAGACCACATTTACTAGCCTGACAGAGACTGGAGGAACCCCGAGACTATTGCCCTAAAGCAACTTTCTAAGTAGGAACTGAAGCCACTCATGGGACCACCTTTTAGCCAACTAACAGGCTGGCCTATGAAATAAAGAACACCCGGGAGCATTGGGCTGATTCTTAGTACAATCAGCTATAAGAGACCAAGGGCAACACCTGCCCCAAGTCAACAATGGAAAGATAGGAAGGGGCAGAGGAACTGAACAAATGGAAATGGGGAACCCAGAGTAGAAGTGAGGAGAGTGTTGACCAGATGTAGTAATAGCAACCAATGTCACTAACAGTTGTGCATTAACTATTAAATATATACATATGCAAAAGTAATTTGCTATGTAAACTTTCACCGAAAACATAATAAAATGTTTTTCCCCAAAAAATATTCAGTGATGAACTTGGCAAAACTAGTCATTAGACCAAAGGGAGACCATATGAGAATTTGTAGAATTAATAATGGAAGCACATTAATAACCTGCGATATGCCGATGATACAACCTTGCTTGCTGAAAGTGAAGAGGACTTGAAACATTTACTTATGAAGATCAAAGAGCACAACCTTCGGTATGGATTGCATCTCAATGTTAAGAAAACAAAAATCCTCACCATTGGACCAATAAACAACATTCTTATCAATGGAGAAAAGATTGAAGTTGTCAAGGACTTCATTCTTCTTGGATCAACTGTCAACACTCGCGGAAGCAGCAGTGAAGAGATCAGACGACATTTGCATTGGGCAAATCTGCTGCACAGGAACTTTTTAAAGTACTGAAGAGCAGAGATGTCAGCTTGAGGACTAAGGTGCACCTGACCCAAGCCATGGTATTTTCAAAAACCTCATATGGACGTGAAAGCAGGACAGTGAATAAGGAAGATCGTAGAAGAATTGATGCCTTTGAGTTGTGGTGTTAGAGAAGAATACTGTAAGTGCCATGCACTGCCAAAAGAACCAATAGATCTGTTTTGGAAGAAGTACAGCCAGAGTGCTCCTTGGAGGCCAAGATGGCTAAACTTCGTCTCTCATACTTTGGACATATTGTCAGGAGGGAACAGTCACTGGAGAAGGATGTCATGCTGGGTAAGATGGAGGGTCAGAGAAAAAGAGGAAGACCCCCAACGAGATGGATTGGCCAGGTGGCATCATTGATGAACTCAAGTGTGGCAGCGGTAGTGAGGTTGGCCCAGGATCAGACATTGTTATGTTCTGCTGTGCATGGGGTCGCTATGAGTCGGTTCCGACTCGATGGCACCTGACAACAACAACAACAACAACAACATGGCCTTGGTAAATCCTGATATCACAGATAACTAATATTCTGCATTGGTAAGATGGGCCCTGGAGTCCTGATGTGGTGCTGTGGGTTAATGCGCCAGACTGCAAAGCCGTTTGAACTGCAAGGTCGGTGATTCAAGCTCACCAGCTGCTCCTCAGAAACCCTATACAGGGTCGCTATGGGTCAGAACCGACTTGACGGCACTTAACAACAACAACAAGATGGGCCCCACAGCTACTGCTCTGCTTACCTCATGGGACTCACCTGACACTCAGAGAAGATCATGGCTGGAACAAGCTTTATGAACCATCAAAATGATTAACTAAATGACACACATCAATAGAGCTTATTTATAAAAAGTTTGTGGTAACATTTTCGACTTTGAGTTATTTGTAGCTTCACAGCAATTTCATTCCAAATATAAAATGAAAATGTTGTGTCATACACCATTAAGCAACCCACAGAACAGCTCCTGTTCTTTCTAAAATGGGACAGAATGCTTTCTTAGTACAATGCAGAACTCCTTCTGTTGTTTTATACCCATTTTTACGTTTCAACTTGCAAAATTTTTACATATGATTAAAACAGCCTCCATATTTTTAATACTCTGTTTTTTTCCTGATTCAGTTGAATTTTGGGGCATTTTAGTTCCATAATTAAGATTCTTTTTTTTATTTTTTTGATTTCCTCCTCATTGCTTTATTGCTGTCACTTGACTTGCTATTCCCCATCTTTGTACACACACACAAACCACACCATCACCATTACTGATATCCCCCTCCCCTCAAGCACTCACCCAGCCACAGCTGAGACCGACATGCAAATGTATCTACAGAACATGTGTTGGAGGCTAAATCTATCATGTAATTTTGCCTTAACTTTTATAGTAAAGATGCTGAATATAGAAAATAATCTGTTTGCTTTAAGAACCCACATTGAATATCAAAGACCAAAGGGTTTGTTTGGGGGTTAATTTTTTTTTTTTCATGTGTTTTTAGTATTATTATTATTGTTTATTTGTTTTGCTTTATTTTTGTTATCCCCTTTCCTTTCTTCTTAAGCCTATGTGGTTTGTAACTCCCAGGGCTTTTGGAAAGAAACCTAAAACCGAGCTCGTCTTGAAATAGTCTCTAGGAAGTTGAGAATTGGTTGCCTCCTCATCTTTTCTATGAGTCACAAGTGTATTTTCTGTGACACCCCCAAAAATAGTTCTGGGAAAGAGAAGGAAGCAGGACTTACTCAGAAACCCAATACACAAGGTGATAAGAAATATCCAGGAGTCCTTTTGCATCATGTGACCCCAGGGCTCAGATGTTAAACATTCTGTTCAGTTGTTAAGCCATGTATAGTCCACTTGGGGTTCAGAAATATGCACCTTAATCCCACTGCATGCTGGCATGGACAGCTATGGAGTTAAATGACCCTTCCCTTGGCATTTGCAGTTTGGGGTGTTTCTGCACAGCTCAGGCTATGGGAAGGGAGAAGTTGACTGGCAGAAGTGGGTAGATGTGGTTCTCCAGTGTAGATAAGAATAAACAGACAACAAATCAAATCCAGCTGCCTTCAGACAAACTCCCTTGTTTACTTGTGGAATATTTTTCAATAGCTATCTAACTATTTCCACTTGGGTTTCTATTGGTCCACTTTATTTATTTGCTTATTTTTTAGAGAGTCTTGTGTACCACTTCCTAGGTGAATGAGAACGCTTTTGTACCATTTGAAAAGTGAATCAAATGCAGACTTACAGAGAAACACTCGTCTGTGAAAGTCAGGGAGAGCCTGGCAGAGCCTGAGAGAGCTTGTTTCACATTCCTGTCCCACCCTGTTGTCCTCAGTTCCAACTTTCTACTCGGTATAATGAAGGTCACAGAAGCCGATTCCTCACTGAGCTCATCTTCTTAAAACCGAACAATCATTTAGCTTCACTAGTCAAGGATTGACCACTGAGCTCTTTCAGTACCTATGTCTATGGAATCAAACCGAAAACAGCAGCTGGAAGGTTCGATAAGAGCCTTGGGGAGAAGTGACTTCGTGTTCATGGGTAGAGCAACTCATAAAAGGAGGATGAGGATGATTGCACAGTTTGACTATCTAATCCTTGTCACTGAATTGTAGATGTAGAAACTGCTGAGTTGGTGTACATTTTGCTGTGGAAAATTTCAACAGCGACTACGAAATAAATAAAATAAAAATTTAAAAACAAGCTCACTCCTATAGCTGTTGAAGGATTGGAGGGAATGTCCATCGAGTTTCTGGAGCCATTCCTGATCCATAGTGGACTCGCCATGCATTGCGGCTATTTGCCTTGGTTGTCTTTATAGTAGAGCCTGGCTGATGGGGAAACAGCAGTCAGTCTTAACTCGTAAAATGGCCTGCCAGAGCCTGATGGGTGGACCTCTAAGCAGTCCCAGCCCATCTAAGTGAAACCAAATCTTTGCTATCCCATCTTAAGTCCAGCTCCAGTCACTGAGATTGTCTCTGCTCCAGTGACTCCTTGGAAAATCATATGAGGCAGAAAGCATGCTTTCAGGGACCCCCAAAGTCGGACAGCCCCCTTTCCATAGCAGCACAAGCACTGCTCCTGCAATAGCGGGGACAGTATAGTAAGAGACTACAGCACCAAGCAGCAGCCTCTAGCAACTCGATTGATCTAGCCACCAGATACCCTCTTTGGATCAAGGTGGGGAAAAAGTGAGCAAATGATGAATCACTCATGTGGTTGTCACAGAGACCAGAGCAAGGCAGGGCAAACACCGCTACTAAGGCCCATTCAGATCCAGCTATTTCCCATTGAGTTTTTCATTTACAGAAGAAAAACCAATTCCCAATAGCAGTCATAAAGAATATGCCATAGTAATCATTTCTTCATGAGTCTGAGAAGCTGCTTCCCCTATATGAAGGGACTTCAGAAATTATCCATATTCCAGTTGTATTAAATGCCCATCCATGCCTAGGACTGATGACAACATTGAGCGTGCACGTAAAATGATTCTGTTGAATAGACAAGTGATACTGGATTATGTGACAAATCATTTTTCAAATCAGCCGTGGTTCTGCCTATGAAATAATCCATAACAGACTTAGATTTCAAAAAGTTTGTGTGAGAAGGGTATTGAAGCGACTCACAGAAGAGCATAAACACAAGTGTTTGGCCATCTGCAAACAAAATTTGGACCAATACTCAGACAGTAAAAGTTTCTTAAAAAAAAATGTTACTGGTGATAAGACATGGATTAATCACTACAAGCCTGGGAGTAAATAGCAGAATTTGGAATGGAAACATCCTCAATTACCAACCAAGGAAAAGTTGAAAAGTCACCCATCAGCTGGAAAATTGATGCTTACAGTTTTCTGGAGTTCTCAAGAGCCAATTTTGGAACAGTCTTGGGAAAAAGTTTCAGCAATCAACAGTGCTCCTCCATACAGTGAGATGCTCACTGAAGAGCTGAAGCCTAAATTTCGCATTGAACACAGAGGACTGCTATCCAATGGCATTGTGATCTTGCATGACAATGCACATCCTCACACCTCTGCCCACACTGTTGACACACTGCAAAAAAACTTTGTTTTGAGGTATTAAAACATACCCCCCTATATCTGGTGAAAGGAGATGGGGATAAGATTCTTATGATCCAATAGTGAGTAATTGTTATCATGACTAATTGAGACAGTCACAACTGTAAAGGTAGAAGTTCTGTAACATAAAGGGAAGAGTAGTTAATCTTACAGTCCAGGAACAGAGGACCCTAGGGCCATCAAGGGAGAAGAGCAGGAGTGGAATATGGGACCCTCTCCAGAGAAACAGTGACACCAGAGATGGAGACAGAGATGAGGACATGGAGAGATCGAACAGCCAAGGACTCTAGACTCATGGAAAGAGAAAGGCTGCATGCTGGCAGCCAGGAGGCAGGCTTGCAGAATGTGCCCTTTGGATGTTTAAATGATTATATATTCCTTAGTGTTTTTGTGTACATCCAAAACAAAAGAGGGACTAGAAACAAATACTGTTGAATAATGATACACGGAAGGGATTGTAATCATTGCAATGAAATGAAGAGTGTAAAACCGATGTTCTCCCATTTAAACTCTCACTCAATTCACAACAACTTAAAAAAAAAAAAAGAGTAAATACTAATAATGGATAATAATGGAGGGGATTATAATCACTAAGATAGAATGAAGTGTATGATTTGGTGAATGTAAAACTGGTGATTTGCTCTGTCAGCTTCTACTCAATTCAGAGTAAAATGTAAAATAAATATACATATTTTTTTAAAAGTCATAAGGATTTCTATATTCACACTCAATCAAAAGTATTGGCTACCGTTTGTTTTTTTTAAAAAAAAAATCCCCCCTATAGTCCTGATCTTGTTCCATCGGGCTTTCACCTGTTTGGTCCCAGAAAACAGCCCTTGGAGGACAAAGATTCACCTCTGATGAAGAAGTGAAGACAGCGGCGCATTCGTGGCTCACAGCTCGCCCTAACACATTTTAAAATAAGGCGTTAATGAAAGCCTGTTGACAGATGGACAAAGTGTATTGAAAAGCAAGGAGATTGTGCAAATGATGCATTTGTCTTTTCTAAAAGTTGATTAAAATAAATTCTACAGCCAGCATGCAGATAATTTTGACACACCCTCGTAGAAAAATGGAATTTCCCCACAAACTTTTTGAAGTCGTTGCATATGTCTCTCACTAATTTCTTAATGCAATATTTAGGTATTGTAAATTGGCTTACTTTTATCTTCTCTGCACTCGCAGCTATTTCTTCTAGAAGAGATGAGAGAGCGAAAGTATGATGGATATGCTCGAGTGATTCAGAAATCTTGGAGAAAATTTGTGGCCAGGAAGAAATACGTCCAAATGAGAGAAGAAGGTATTTTAGTTGTTTGGGTTCTTAAATTTACAAATCTCCAGAGGAAGTCTGAGCCTCAGTGAGGTTACAGGTTCATTTAATTTGTATGTAATACTGTGTGTTAAAACTCTTGCATTCATTTAGAGTTTCTTTGTGTATTTCCTTACCAAATATTTCCCTCCTTTTTCTGGACTGATCCTACTCCTTTCTCTACTCTCTCTGCCATGGTAGCCTCAGACCTGTTATTGAACAAGAAGGAGCGAAGGAGAAACAGTATTAATAGGAACTTCATCGGGGATTACATTGGGATGGAGGAGCACCCAGAACTCCAGCAGTTTGTGGGCAAGAGAGAGAAGATCGATTTTGCAGACACAGTCACCAAGTACGACCGGAGGTTCAAGGTATGCGTGCGAACACTACTCACCTCTGAGGCACCAAACCGATCCCTTAAAAAAAAAAAAGACTTGTGATGTTGCTTTTGAAACTATTACTATCAAAGCAGAACACGTTCATTGTGAAAATTTTTAGAAAATACAGATAAACCAAATGAAAAAAGAGCAACCTACACGGAGAAACAAGGAATCCTGGTGGAGTGGAGTGGGTTATGCGTTGGCCTGCTCACTGCAAGGTCAGCAGTTCAAATCCATCAGTTGCTCCTCAAGCAAAAGATAAAATTTTCTACTCCTATAAAGATTTACACCCTTGAAAACTTTATATAAGGTCGCTATAGTTGGAACATACTGGAAGGCGCATAACAGCAAACTGAACAAAAAACACTATCAACATTGTATATGTATTTTCCAGATCACTTGCATGCAGATATACACGAACACATATTTATTTTTACAAAAATGGATGTGTATTTCATGCTATTTTATGTCCTGTTTCTTTTTTCTTGCAGTATACCAGAGAGAGTTTTCCATATTCATAATTTTTTTTGAATTTTACATAGCTACATATTGTTGTTGTTAAGTGCCGTCAAGTCAATCCTGACCCATAGCAACCCTGTGAAAAGGGTTTCCAAGGAGCAGCTGGTAAACTTGAACCACTGACCTTGCAGTTCAAATGGCTTTGCAGTCTGGAGCATTAACCCACAGCACCACACCAGGACTCAGTATTCCCTTTATTACTTTTTGAGTTCATTTCTCATGAATCACTTCTCCATGTTTTGTTTTTCCATGATCATAACTACAATGGGTTGTCATTTCACACAAATCTTGATGCATTGATTTTAGGATAACCTAGGAGTGAATTGCTGGGTCAAAGAATTCAGAATATCTTTATCATCATCAAGAAATATTATGGTGTTCCTGAATGAACAATAAGTAAAGCATTATTCATTAGCCACTGGATTAAGAGCTGATTTCTGATCTCCTCCCTTAGACTATTTTTCCTGGTAGAAAAATCTAAAGCCCCCCCTAGCTCTTGCACACAATAAGAGCTTTTCTTTTCTTTTCAAGAAAAGTAAATTAATGAAATTACTAACAATCAGAATTTTGTAAGATGGTTGATGAAGCCAAATCATTCCTTACAACCTAAATATGGTACCTTGGAAGCAAATATGGTTGCTTAGCTCACTTGTTGTTTTTGTTACTAAGTGCTGTCAAGTAGGTTCTGACTCATCGTGACCCCGTATAGGATTCCCAAGGAGTAATTGGTGGGTTTGAACCACTGACCTTGCAGTTAACAGTCCAGTACGTATCCTATAGTACCACATCAGGACTCTGCTTAACTCAGTAGTACTCAATTACAAGATAGTCTCTCAAATGTCCCAGTGTCTGTTTATGTTATATTTTTAAGGATTAGTATTGAAATGAAAATATATCTATTCTGCTGTTGTTGTTATGTACCGTGGAGTCGGTTCTGACTCATAGTGACCCTGTACAGGGTTTCTGAGGCTGAAAATCTTTACAGGAGCAGAAAGCCTCATCTTTCTCCTACGGAACAGCTGGTAGTTTCAAACTGCCAACCTTAAGGTTAACAGCCCGATTCGTAACCACTATTTCATGAACTCCCAAGGAATTATGTACAGACACTTGCAGGATCCCTGTTTGAGAAACATGCTGTAGCAGATAATTGATAGGATATATGTGCTGGTTGGCCTGGGACGGTCCCATTTCCACCTGGTGTCCTAATGGCTCAGGTAAAACCATATGATTTGCTGTTTTTACAAGTCAAGAAGAGTCAAATATCAGCAATTTCATATGTGTCAACCAAATAATCAATAACACTGCTCCATGTCTTTCAAAGATCTTGGGTTGATCAAATCCAATTGCCATCTCAATGGTAGTGAAGATTTGCTGCGCAAGGCAGCTTCCTCTCTGTCCTGGTAACAGACATCCATTGTATAGACAGCTGTCTATCCACCTTCCTAAAGCTCCTCTCATTGCAGGGTGTAAAGCGAGACTTGATTCTTACTCCAAAGTGCCTGTATTTAATTGGACGAGAAAAGATCAAACAGGGTCCAGACAAAGGACTTGTCAAAGAAGTGCTGAAGCGGAGAATTGAGATGGAAAGGATCTTATCCGTGTCCCTCAGGTGAGTGGTAAAGGGATGGAGGCAGGGAAACCCTCCACATCGCTATTGCCATTCCATACAATGCCAGGAGAAAGACTGAGTACAGCTCCTCAGGTGATAAAACTTTTATGAAAAGCACTAAGTTTTCCCTTCCTCTCCAAGAAGATTCCAGTTCCTTACGTCTCAGGGAGTGTTTACATGGCAGGAATAAAAGAACAAGAAAGTTGCCTTCTGGGAATTATAATCCATGTCACAAATGTGTTTAACTCGTTGAATTGAAAACCAATTTGCTCTGGACACTTTCATCCAAATCATAATTTTTTTAAAAAAGACAACAGAGAAAGTTGCCTTCTGGACAGTGCCTTCTAATTAAGGGACACTCAGATCCTTGTTCCCATAAAATGTTAGGAGTAATCCTAGTATGCAAAACAAATCAGATTAGAATTGGTTTTACTGAAGTAAAGCCTAGAGTCCAGAGCCCTGTCCCCCATCATATCTCACCCAATTTGAAAACATGACTCAGTTTACCAGCAACATTCCTTACTCAGCGGGGGCCACTGAGGCTGTCCATTTCAGTTTGCTGTGACCTTAGATTGTCCTGGAAGGAAAGTTTCTTGGAGGCTTCTTAGGGTTCCTTCTGCCTATTCAAACAAGAGAAGAAATGCAAATTGGTCTTAATAATCTGTAGCACTGGAGACATTGCCAAGTGCTCCGCTCAGATCCAAGTTCACAGGCAATTGGAAGCCTCGGCTCCTTCCGCAAGGCCTCAGGCCAGGGGCCTTGCTCTTCTTGTCAGCATCTGGCTTTCTTTTGGCAGAGGGACTTCAGTGTATAAGGGGACTTCCCTGGGTCCTCATGTGCTAAGAACTGTCAGACCAAACTCCCTCTGATAGAAAATGCCTCCCAGTTCACAGAAGACAAAGAAAGGTGCCCTGGAGTCCAGTGGCATCTTCCTTTTATGCCCCTGGCTCCCAGCAAGGCTATTGCTGCCTTTGCCAGGGGAAGCTTTGCACTGCCATCGCCTTAAAAAAGTAGTGATGTTGTGAACGCTTCCTGGAGTTGGAACACTTCTCCAAACTCTTATTCCGCACAGAACACAAAACTGCTGTGCTTAGGAAAAAGCGGGGAGAGTGGGGCGAGGAACGTTTGTTTGCTCGGCATCTGACCTACCAGGCAAGAAATCCTGGCACCCGTGTGATCTCCAGTGTGATAATCCAAAGCAGATTGCAAGTTGTGTCCATTCTTGCCTTGTGTCACTGTGGTTTCTGATCGTATCTGTTTCGAATTTTGCCAGATAAAGGTCTGGGTGGTGCAGTGAGGGTGCGTGATTGAAACTTGCCAGTGAAATGTCTAAGATGTTGAATCCACCAGTGTCCTTTTTCAGGGTTGCTGGTTTCCAGGAAGAACTCTGGGTACTGCATGCATTTCAGAAGGTGTCTCTGAGCATTGGGCCCACTGGCCTGTGTCACAACCTGCTGGGCCCTGAGGGTCCACAGGCTACTGCTCTTGGTGGTTCTTTATTTTCGTTGTCCTTGCAAGGTGACCAGCTGTCAACCAGCTGGGTTGGTTGATGTGTTCTGTGTATACTTGACAGCAGTGTTGGCTCTAGGGCACATGTGATCATTGTTCGGAGCGTAGCTATCCTCGCTGCTCTTTAGACCTGGTCTGTCCTCAGTCTCCCAACCATTCAGGGAGTGCCGTCCTTACAGCACCAACATAAGGCCCATGATGACCACAAATAAGCATGATGTACCTACATTTGTACAAAACAATTAGACGTTTACAGTGTTGTTGATCGAGCCCTTGTTGTTAAGTGCTGTTGAGTGATTCCAACTCACAGAGAACATGTACAGGATTTCCGAGGAGCTGCTGGTGGGTTTGAACTGCTGACCTTGCAGTAAATCCAGTGCTTATCCTACAACACCACACCAGGACTTCCCTTATCAAATAAGACTTGGGTTGCTATGAATTTTTGAAGGGAAAACAAATTTGCTTTGTAAACTCTCACTCAAATCACAATAAAAAGTTAAAACAAAAACCTGGGTAGTTCACATTCAAATTTCTTCCTTCTGTGCTTTTTTTCCCCCTTCCCCCACCGCCTTTGAGGTACACAGCTTTATGGTAAAACCAGCTCCTTTTTCTTCCTTTTCTTTAGTATTTAACATCTGGAGTTTTACATCCTTGTGGCCTTTTCTTTTTTACAGGGTGTGATAACATGAAGTACTTAGCTTAAAAGTTGTTCCTGCTTGAGAGGGAAAAAAACCTTCATTTTATCTTGTAATTTCTGCATGTTGCAGTTAGCGAAGCCTCACACATACAGAGCTAACGCTGCCCCATTCTGTCCTGTACATGTTAGATTAGACGAAAAGTCAGAAACCACATTAGGAGAGGAACCAGAAGGACAATGGTTTATGCAGATTCAGTCCTGGAGTAGAAGTTAAGTGTGATACAAAACCAAGGAACATGTAGGTGTGTGGATATTTTAGAAAAATACTTCAGTCTTGGTACAAAGAAAGATTTTAACAATTGTCTTGTATTTCATGAGAAAAAAAAAAATTACACTAGTTCTGTGTTTTGAAAAAATTTTTGAGACTTCCTCATTTACTATGAGCTGAAGTTATGTCACCTAATGGCTTATTAGGAGTCCTGGTGTGGTGTTGTAGGATAAGCACTGGACTGCTAACCACAAGATCAGTGGTTCAAACCCACCAGTCGCTCCTTGGAAACCCTATATAGGGTCAACAACACTTGACAATAACAACAACAATGACAATGGCTTACTAAGGAAGTCCTGGTGGTGTACTGGGATACTTGTTGGACTACAAGATTAGCAGTTCGAATCTACCCAGCTGCTCCAAGGGAAAAATAAAAGGCTGTCTGTTTCAGCAAAGATTTATAGCCTTAGAAACCCTACAGAGCAGTTTGGCTCCCTCTCCTATAGGCTCCGGTAGCGTAGTGGTTACGAATCGGGCTGCAAACCTTAAGGTCAGCAGTTCAAAACTACCAGCCACTCCGCAGGAGAAAGATGAGGCTTTCTACTCCCGTAAAGATTTACATCCTTGGAAACCCTGTACAGGGTCGCTATGGGTCGGAACCGACTCGACGGCACTTCACAACAACAACAACAACCTATAGGCTCCTTCTTCTATAGGCTCCCTCTCCTATAGGCTCCTTCTTCTATAGGTTCCCTCCTGTAGCCTTGCAATAAGTCAGAATTGAATGAATAGCAGTTAAAGGTTTGGGTTTTTGGAATGACTTACATTGGAGTCCCTTGTAGTACAAATGATTAACACACTCAGCTGCTAACCGGAAAATTGGAGGTTCAAGCCCATCTGGAGGCAGAAAGGCCTCCCAGTGTACTCCCAAAAGATCAGCCCTTGAAAACCCTGTGGAGCCTGGTTCTATTCTGACACACCTGGAGTTACTATGAGCTGGAATCAACTTATCAACTAGTTTGGTGAATGGCTTCTTAGAGAGGGCACTGTCAAAGTATCCCACAAGTTTCATCTTTCAGTGCCTTCTGCTACCCATAATCTCTGTCAGAGAAAAATCCATTATGAGACTATTCGGGCAATGTGAATATGACTGACTACTTGATAGTGGTTGGTTGGTTGTGTGCCACCGAGTTGGTTCCGACTCACAGCGACCTTGTATGGGATTTCTGAAGCAGAAAGCCTCATCTTTCTCCCTCAGAGAGGCTGGAAGATTCGAACTGCTGACCTTGCAGTTAGCAGCCCAGCTCATAATCCACTATACCACCAAGGCGTCTTAAATACTTGATACTAAGAATCTATTATTTATTTAAGTCGGTTTGAATCTCAAGGTTGGCGGTCCAAGCTCTCCAGCTGCTCCTTGGAAACCCTATACAGGGTCTTTATGGGTCGGAACCTACTCAACAGCACTTAACAACAACAATTAGTCTTCAAGAGCGATGGTATTATTTTTATTGAAATCTTTAATCTTTAAGAGATACAGATTGAACTATTTAAAGGTAATATAATGCCTGTACTTTGCTTTAAAATAATGAGTGTAGGAGTGGGGAGTAGAGTGATAGATAGATTTGATTATCTGCAGGTTGGTTATCATTGAAACCTCCTGACATTTTGCTATTCTCACTCCTCTGCTATTTTGAAATCTTCCATAATAAAAAGTGTTTCTAACCCTACAGTAGGCATTATCTATTCAAGTCTTTATCTTTAATAAATGTATGGAAATAGATCTCGTTGAATTATTGTGGAAAATTTAAATAATTCTAATTTGCAAGGAAAAAAAAAAAAAGCGGTATTAGAGCAGATAGAATTAGGACCAACAACTCAAAAAGATTTGAAGCTACTGTTGCTCAAGGAATTCCAGAATAATTTGAACAGGAACATACCTTATCTACATGAAAGTTAGACTAGAACATTGATGGCTGTATCCCTGCCTTCGTTGGAGACTTGGTGAGACTCCATTAACAGAAAGTAATAAAACCAACATATAGCTCAGACAACATCAGACTTCTGAGGCTTGAAACATCAGCTGACAGAGGGCCATGAATCCATATTTGTAATATCATGAAGTACAGAAATAGCATCCCAACCACCCGTGTGTATTCATCCATTCATCAAACCTTTTCAGCTTGTTAGTATCCATTTGTGAATCTTCCTTCAAGAGCTGCTGCTTGTACGAGTACTGGCCTGGCCTTAATTTTTGTTGAAAAATTCACAGCAAGGTGGTCACAAGGTGTGTTTGCCCATGTTCTTTGTTTTCCTCTTGTAGGTGATGAGATTGATGCTCTGAAACATGCACATGTTAGGGGGCTCTCTGATGAGGACTCTAATTTTAGCTTTCGTTTTGATAGCTGACTACCAGAAAGCCAAAGGCCGAAGAACAAAAGCTATCTAACTGCCTGTCTGGGCCCGTAGGTTTGCTAATACCTATATGTAATTGGGAAAGCCATTTAAAAGAATGCTAAAGGTACTTTGGGACTCCTAGTGTGTCACTATAGCATCAGCACTGGACTGCGAACCACAGGTCGGCAG